GGGGTTGGGGGGGTGGGCTGGGGGTGGGGGAGAAAGTTTGGGGGTGAGGGGAGGGAGAGGGAGAAGGGACTTGAAATAAGCTTGTTCCCTAACTAGAACTAATAAAATAAAATAAAATTTAAAAAAAAAAAAAAGAGGAGAACTCCACCCATTTCCCTCTTCTTCTGGCTTCTTTCTGAGAAGGCATCTCTTTTCTGTCTCTCTTTGTGTCTCTTTCTCTCTTCTTTCTTTCCTTTCCTTATTTTTTTTACCACCCCCCCCAATAAACCTTCATAGAAGTCACATCTGCAGGTCTCTGTTTCCCACCCGACGTGGTCCTGGCCTTCTGGTGTGGGATGCTCCAAGGTTCCCAATGCACCGTATTCACCTTTGTGCCTAACAGTAAGTGCTTTACAAACTGAGCCATACCCCTACCCCAAATTTTTATTTTGAGCTGGAGTCTCATATAGGTCTTGAACTTGCTGTAGAGCTAAAGCTCTCCCTGAAAACCTGAGCTTCTAGCCTCCCCGTCCCAGGACAACAGATCTTTTAAGATTCTTCAAGTCTTTTTCAATTTGAATATTCTTTTTGTCTACGCTGGTCCAAGAATGTCCAATCTTTTGACATCATGACATGATTCTGTCATCGACAAATGTGTTGGGCCACACTCATGGCTATCCCAGGACACTGCAGTTTGAAGTCACTTGCCTTGGTCCTTTCAGTTGTGAGATCTTTCCCTCTATCCCTTTGCCATCATTTGCCATCATTGAAAATCTTCATTATAAATCTCTAATCACCGTGACCAACATAGCAATTTATCCTCTCGCCCAAAGCCTCACACATCACTGGAAGAGCCTTGCCACAAATATGCTGCTCTTTTCCAAGTTGGCAGACTAACAGTTGAACAAGACTAATGCCTAGGTCTCTGGAGACCAGGCTGGCCTCTAACTCACAGAGATCAGCCTGCCTTTGCCTCCCAAGTGCTGGGATTAAAGGTGGGAGTCACCCCCGCTCGGCTTCTGCTTTGTTTTTTAAGTTTTGGTTTTTGGAGACAGGGACTTGTGTAGAGTAGGCTGGCCTTGAACTCTTGATGTCACCCAGAATGACCACGAATTCCTAATCCCTCTATCTCCCAAATGCTGCAATTATAGACATGGGCCATTTAAAAGGACAGGAATTTAACCATGGGATAATGGGGGCAAAAATATTCAAGTCACTACTCAAATCATATTTATATGATTTGTTTTTACTTGAATTATATGTATGTGTGTGCTGTATGTGGGTATCTGCATGTGAGTTAAGGTGTTCTTGGGTACCAGAAGAGGGCATCAGATCACCTGGAGCTGCAGTTACAGGTAAACTGAGCTGCCTGTTGTGGGTGCTGGGATCTGAACTTGGGTCCTCTGCAAAAGTAGTACAAGCTCTTAACTGTTGAGCCATCTCGCCAATGCTATAATGCCTTTCCTCCCCCCCCCTTTGTTTTCTTCCTAGAATCTCAATGTGGTCCGGGATGGCCAGGTACTCATTATGTAAACCACGCTGTCCTTGAATTTATAGAGTCAGCCTGCCTTTGTTCCCCAAATGCTGGGATTAATGATGTGTGTCACCTCTCCCTGTCTCATAATAGTGTTACTTTAAAATTGGAATTAGTTTCAATTGTTTTTCCTTTTGAGTAGTTACTGTTTGCTCAGTCTCCTGCTTTGTGTCAAGAGAAAACACATATCTAGGACGGGTCTATGGGTCCAGAGCCACACCATCAAGTTTTCTACTTGAATCTGTTGATCCATTTTTCATCTATAAAACAGGCTCGAGTTATATCTCCCAGTCCCTGAGTAGAACTGTAACGACTTTTTGTTTCTATTGAAAGCAATGTGAGATTATATGTGTGTGTGTGTGTGTGTGTGTGTGTGTGTATAAATACACATGTGTGTATGCACACACACACACATACATACATACATACATACATATATATACACAAAATAGAATAGAACTCAGTTCTTTCTAGAACTCAGTCTTTTAAAAGGGGGAATCTGGTCATTTGTAACTACATGGATAAATTAGAAAAATATGATGCAAACTGAACAAAGCCAGGCACTGAAAGATAAAATATGATCTCACAGATCTGTGAACGCTAAAACAGAAATTAAAAAAAAAAGGAATTCATAGGAGAGTAGAACGGTATCTGTAGGGAGGGAATAGAAAGTTGCTGATCAAATGGTACAAAATCCCAGACAGAGGAATGAGTTAGAGAAGACCGCATAGCAGAGTGACCGACGACTACACACAAGCGAATACAGCAATTTTCAAGAGTCTTCCCCCAGAAATGATAGGTGAGCAAGGTATGCTAAGTAGCTTGTCATTCATCCCATACTATTTGTTCATTTCAAAACGCATTGTACTCATCAATGTATACCATCACAATTTGCCAATAAAACTAGTATTTTAAAAAACAACAGCAAATAAATATTCCACATTCAAAAACTAACCTTTGAAACTGCTAAGAAGTTTGTTATTTTAAATTATTTTTTGTTGCTGGGGGTGGTGTTGCATGCCTTTGATCCTAGCACTAAGGGAACAGAGGCAGGTGCATCTCCGAGTTCAAGGCCAGACAGCCTGTTCTACAGAGTGATTTCCAGGACAGCTATAGCTGCACAAAGAAACCCTGTCTCAAAACTCCACGCCCCGCCCCATAAAAAAACCTGCATTTTTTGTTGTTTGTTTTATCATCTTTTGAGAATCTTATTTAGCATTGATAATGTCACATAAATTAGTAAAAATGAAGACAGGTATGGTGGCTTATAACTGTAATTGTACAGATAAACACTCAGGAAATCAGTACAGTTCAGGAGCTCCAGGCCAGCTTGGACTGGATGCAGCAAAACCAAGTCTCTTTAAAGTAATAATAACAGTAACACCATTGAGAGGAAGATGAGAGTGGGAGAACCAGAGTATACATACCAGGAATCCTATTGAGTGTCACCCAGAAATGTTCGTCGGGGCTGTAGGTGTCCTTGGACCAGGAGATTAAGTCCAGTGAACGCTGATCTTTGAGGACAAAGTTAGCAAACTCACGTGTGAGGGCCACATAGGCAGTGCCAAAGTAAATGGTCATATTGTGAGGAGGAGGAGCTTTTAATTTTGCTGTATTGTGCACATAGGAATATTTTTGGTTTAACAGTTCCTGGTGGACGTACTTGGTCCTTCCAATAGCATGAGCAGGAGGCAGCACCCCTGGGGTAAGATTCTTCCCAATAAACCCTTTCAGGTACTGAACTATTTCCTTGTTGGTTTTCAGGGGGAAGTCCTGTCCGCAGGTGTTGAGGACATATTTCCAGGGGACCTCGGAGGCCACCAGATCTTTCATGCAGTTCAGGTCAGCCTGGAGGCGGGAGAAGCCACCATAGACCACAGGCTCCATCTTAGAGGCCAGGAAAGCATTGGGGAAACAGCTTAGTAACTGCTGGACAGCATCTTTGAAGGTCTCTGTTGCCTTCCTATCCACATGCACACAATAGACGTTCTGGGGCATGTAAATTGCCCTGAAGAGTCTTTCAAACGTATCAAAATCTTTGTGGATTGTCAGTGTAAACGCCAAAGGGAAGCTGGCTTCTTCTTCGGAGAGAGTCTCTGTTATATAGTGATTTTGAGCCCTGTACTCAGAACAGTTTTCCAGGGTAGTTTTCCTTGGGCTGTCTGTCATATAAAATGTCTCCCCATTAAACATCTGCAAACAGACTTCTGCTAAGACTGAAGCATTGGCAATTGCTCTTGGGAAATAATTGGTTCTCCACAATTTGCTGTTGTAAATAAATACAAACATCAAGGCAGCAATAAGAGACAGACTAAAAAGACAGTAGTTCCGGGAGCCCATCTTCCAAAACCAGGAAATGAGCAAAATGTCTTTAGAGACAGGATTGGAGCGGAACTTCCTTTAACTTACATTTTCTCCAAGTCCAAGCATTATCCTACCTGAATGTGATTCTGATGAGCCGCTCGCAGCTTCTTGGTCCTTTCTGCTCTCCCTTCCCTCTTCCTAGCTTGCTTATATTTTCATTTTTCATTGAACGACGTCAGTAGCAGCTCCATTGTCCAGCCTCTAACCAATTTACAACCAATTACTACATAAAATTGCCCCACCCTTGAGAGGATCTTGGGGCCAGTGACTCTACCTGTCCCCACAGGGAAATCACTATCAGTGACCTTCGTGCAAAGCATTGCTCTGGAACTCCAAGCCAATCCTCTTCATCCAGTGGAAGGCTGGTAACTGTGCCTGCTCCTCTAGCTTCCAGTTAATCATTGCATTCAAATGGCTGGGCTTGTTTGCTTAACCAGCTCTGCCCAGCTAAAAGCTTCAGTTTGGAGCATGTGAACACTGCCTGGAGAAAGACTCTGTCAATTAAAAAAGAAAAGTGTCATGCTTGACAATAAATTGCTAACCCTGCCTTTTCCCACACATACAACTCACTCCTTTCCTCACTGACTGGGTATGCTTTAAAGCAAGGCGGATGACTGACTGTTGGGCCAAATTCTTTCCTGGGCTTACTTTTCTGCTCTGCAAGGGGAGGCCCTTAAAAGGGGCATATTTACTACTACTTGGACCTCATCTTCTAACTCACAACTGGGGCGCTCTGAATAAAGGCTAATTGTTTAAAACAAAACAAAACAAGAAAATCCCAAGGAACCAACAGTTTCCCATCACCCCCAAATTCCATGGAAGCTAAAGTTACTGAATGTCAAGTTTGTTCTGTTTTTCCCACACGGGATCCAGACAGAGTGCTCTGATGCCCAGAGAAGAGAGAGGAACCAAGTCAGTTTTAAATATTACAGGCTTAGAGACTTTTAGATCTGGAGGCTTTAGTTATTCATTGCCCAAGCTGACCTCTAATGCCTGACCTCAATTGAGTTGCCCTCCTCAGACTCTTCAGTTTTACCCGGGAAACTGAGGCTCTTAGTTTCATTCATACAAGAATTTAGAAATGGACTCTGAGCCAGGCAGTGGTGTCACACACTTTCAATCCCAGCACTTGGGATACAGAGGCAGGCAGATCTCTGTGAGTTTGAGGTCAGCTCTGTCTACAGAGAGAGCTCCAGAGCAGCCAGGCTACACAGAGAAACCCTGTCTCAAAAAGCAAAGCAAAACAAAACAAACAAAACAACAAAAAGCCAAACCAAAACAAAAAGACTCAGAAAGAAACATCGGGACCGCTTCATTAGTGTTTAAAAGAATAACACAATTCAGGTTAGGTGAAGATCCCAGCCGTGTCCTGGGAGGAGGGAACAATGGGGGACATCTCACCTTTTATAAGTTAGGGGCAGGTGGAAATAAACAGAGAAGGGAAATGCACTCCCAAGAATGGATGTGGGCTAGGGAGCAGAGGAAAGAAAGAATCCTACAGGCAGCATTATGGTCCTTTAGAGTCCCCACCCTCCCTGGTTGTAGCTTGAGGGCTTTGTTTCCACTCACACTGTGTTCTCTAAAATGAAGCTGAGCTTAGAAAGGGCTTCCAGTCTTCCTCAGCAACCTGACTTCTTTCACATGGTGGGAGCTTGGCTTAGTTCCCACTCTGTCACCAGTAGCTGGGACTACAAGTCTGTGTCACTGTATCCAGTTCAGATTTGTAAACAGTTTAAAAGGTGTGTCTTTGTGTATAGGGAATAAGAATTTTTTTTTTATCACCATAGGTCAAACACAAGAATAAACTTCAGATAATATATAAAAGAATTTTTACCAAATGAGGTTGAGACAGGAGACACAGCATAGTACCAGAAAGAACAGGAAGCAACACACACACACACACACACACACACACACACACACACACACACACACTGTATGAGGCGCGCACACACACACGCGCGCGCGCGCACACACGCACACACACGCACACACACACACACGCACACGCACGCACACACACACGCACACACGCGCACACACACACGCGCGCACACACACGCACACACGCGCGCGCGCACACACACACAAGCACACACACACGCACACACGCGCACACACGCGCACACACACGCACACACACACGCACACACACACACACACGCACACACGCACACACACACACACACACACACACGCACGCACGCACGCACGCACGCACGCACGCACACACACACGGCAGAGGGAGATCCCCTAATACCCGTACTTCCAGAAAATGACATTGCTTCCGTCTTTTGTTTGAAATCTTATTCCTCTGGTACCCCTCCTCCTTGAGCTCCAGCCAAGTGTCACATGTCAGAATCCACTGATGAGTTCTGTATCATTTGGTAGCCAGTGTCATGCAGTGTGAAAGGGCATCTCTAAAGACTTGCACTCATGTGTCCTCATCTGTCTGCTGCTCTCCACATCGTCTGCACACAGCAATCAGATGGACACTGATGGAATGCATAAGCTGTCATTTCCCTGCTCACTTTAGTGGAAGATCTCAGGGAATGGTGATTTATAAGGGAATACATATTTATTTATACCTGTAAATGCATCGCATTAAATGCCCATTTTTCCAATGTATTTTTTTTAAGATTCATTTATTTATTACATATACAGTGTTCTGCCTACATGCCAGAAGAGGGCACCAGATTGAATTGTAGATGTTTGTGAGCCACCATGTGGTTGCCGAGAATTGAACTCAGGACCCCTGGAAGAGCAGTCAGCGCTCTTAACCTCTGAGCCATCTCTCCAGGAGCTTTTCCAATGTATCTTAATCATAGAGCCAATATAATATTGTAGTTTTCATATTTTGTACTTTCATCTGACTTCCTACTCACAGACATACACATTTTGATTAAAAACACAGGAAGAATCCCCAGTGTAGCTCAAGCCAGGGGTCAATTCCCAACACACACAGAAAGAAAGAAAGAAAGAAAGAAAGAAAGAAAGAAAGAAAGAAAGAAAGAAAGAAAGGAAGGAAGGAAGGAAGGAAGGAAGAAAGAGAAAAAAAGAAAACACACTGGTGAGACGGTTCAGTGGGAAAGGGTGCTTGCTGCTGACCCTGATGGCTGGAGTCCAATCTCTGGCAGCAGGAGAGAAGTGACTTCAGAAGTTGTTCTCTCATCTGTGTGTACTTACACGCATGCACAGAAACATGCATCCACAATAAACAAATACATGTAGTAGGGGGAACTAAGCTAAAAGACAGGGAAATGCCAAGACACACAGGAAAACGCAAAGTATATCCTGTTGTCTAAACCAGAGATGTTAGTGCAGCACCCTTCATAGTGGTTCCTCTCACTGACTCCATAATCACTCTTCTAGAAGATGAGGCCAGGGTCACTGATGGCCTGATTTACCCAGCAGCTGAAAGCAATGTGGTCATGATCATTCCCAGCCCTGTGTCATGTGCATCAGGGATCTAGGGAAAGACAACCAGAAAGGACCTGTGGGCAAATCCAAATGATAACTGGAGACCTGTGACAGTCTCTAGTTGCTCCAGGAACTGGTGGTGCCTGTGTGCTGCAGCTGTACACAGCTTGGTCTACATGATTCCAGCACAAATAGCTCTTTCCTTAAGGACCATTCAGGTGTTCATGCAGAACGCTCTGGAACACATTACTTCCTCAATACAGAAAAAAACATCTTTCCAAAGAGGAAAGCAATTTCTCTAATTTGTACTTTGCGTTTTGTATCCCTTTTGGTAGATACTGTCCACATCAAATGAACTTGATTATGGGGAAGAGGAAATGAAGACATCAATGTCTAATTATGCTTGCTAGAGCCTGTGCAACCATTCTCAGTCTTGCCTCCTAATTTACCTAGATGATGGCATCAGCTTTGTTCTGGCTCTCACCTCAATCCTACCCCTTAAGACAGGCACAAAAGCATCTGGAATCACCTGGCTGTTCCTTGACTTTGCAGCTCTCCGGGTTTGACTGTGAAGCCATAGATGTAGTAGTTGGTGCTTGGTTGCAGGAGCATCTTGTGCCTCACCTGAAATGCCATAGGGTCCTTCTAGAAATGCCTGGGCTTAATTCTAGTATCATTACTAGCCATTTTAAGAAGAATGAGTAATGGCCCAGTGAGATGGCTTAGCAGGAACGGCACTTGCCTACAAACCTCACCACCTGAGTTCGATCCCTGGGACCCACATGGGAGAAGGAGAGAAGATTCCCATAGGTTGTCCTCCATATGTACAATAGAGGTACACACACATGCATGCAACCCCCCTATAGGTAATAAAAACGGAGATGATTATATTTTCTACCTTGTTTTTTTGAGATTTATTTTGTGTGTTTAAATGTTTCACCCATGTTTGTGTGTGTATGTGTAGCTCGTGTGTGCCTGGGGCAGGAGAAAACCAGAAGAGGTTGTTGGAGTTATAGACAGTTGTGCATGGCCCTGTGGGTGTTGCCAACCAAACCCAAGTCCTCTGTGAGCACTAAGTGCTCTTAGCCTGCTGTGTCATCCATGCCGCCTCATCCTGTCTGAGCCTCTGCATTGCCCCAGAGTAGCCATTCTTCTGTGTCCTGAGTTCCATGCTCTCCCAACAGGGCAGGGCAATAAATAACCCCAGAGGAACAGAGACGGTTTTATCCAGCTTGAACATGAGATCCAAGTCAACACCCCACACGCCAAGATCAGGAGGTGACTAAGCAGAATAAAGAAATGGGAGCCGGTGTAGACCGGCTAATGACTCCGTAAATCTCAGGTGTGTGTGTGTGTGTGTGTGTGTGTGTGTGTGTGTGTGTGTGTGTGTGTGTGTGTGTTTCAGAGATCAGTGGAACATATTGCTATGTCCTTAGGGCGTGCATACTCACAAACTCTCACCGAAGGACATTAGCCAATTTTTATTACATCAAGACAACTATACTGAAAGCTGAATTTACATCAGCGACCGTGGGAGGGGCTTTCATCAGTCTCAC